CCTCAGCTTCCTGAGTATCTGGAATGATAGGAACGTGTCACCACGCCTGGCTGTGCACAGGATGTTTTCCTGGGCACTGTCTCTGTTTGTTTTGTGTTGCTGTGGCCAAAGTCCCCAAAGCTGGATAATTTATAAAGAAAAAAGGTATTTAGCTCACAGTTTTGGAGGATGAAAGTCCAAGATCTGATGGCGCCCAGCTGTTCATCACCTGATAAAGGGCTGCTGGCGTCATGCTGGAGGCACATGCAGAAGAAAGGTCACGGGATGGGCGCTAAAGAAAGAGACAGCCCAGAAAGCCACATTTACTTTGTAACAACCTGCCGTCACAGTAACCAGTCCAGTCCCTTGAGACCTGGGCCGCTCCTACAAGACAGGCCTTAGTGTCTTCCAAGGGTGATGCCTGCAAGGCAGATTATCTCCATCCATGCATCAATGTAGCAAGGGCGATGAGGCTTCGCCATGAGCTCTGGTGGGCAGCAAACCACATTCAAACCAGAGCCACCCTGACGGCCAGGGCTCAGTCACTGGCCACACCTACCTGCTCTGTGGCAAAGAGAAAAGGAGAACAGGTTTGCTAAGCTGTTCGTCCATTCACCTTTACCACTTCCTCTGCTCCCCTCTGCCTGTAACCCTCCTCAATCCTCTGATTTCTCCGCCGAGGCTCCCGCTGCCAGTCCCTGTCCCGGACTCCCTGCCTGACCCCCGCTGACCGGCCTCTCCTTCCCCTCAGATCTCACACTCCGAGGAAGAATGTCTCTCCTTCAAAATTCACCAGTTCTTCAATGTGGGGCTCATCCAGCCTGGCTCCGTCAAAGTCTACTCCTACTACAACCTAGGTGAGCCAGCGAGCTGGGGCCGGGCCTAGGTGCTCCAGGGGCCTCAGGGTCCTGGGTGAGTTAGTGGGGGGTGTCAGAGAATCTCTAAGGTCTGAAGGCTCCAAAGACCAGAAAGTTGGGGATTCTCAGAGTTCCTACGTTCTGTATGTTGAGGTTCTGAGGGTCCCAGGCATCTGTGAGCTGAGGGTCTGAGAATTTCAGAGATAAGAGGGTTGGAGTCTGAGAGTCCCATGGGCCTGAGGGTTGGCTGACTGAGGCTCTTAAGGATTTGCAAAGTGGGGGTCTGAGGGCCCCGGGATCTGTGAGCTGCAGGCGAAGGGTCTCAGGATCTGTAGCTCTGCATCTCATGGTTCCAGAATTCTAGGACTTGGGGGTCTGAGTGCTCCAGGGACCTGAGGGCACCGGAGTTCTGTGCGTGGGGATTCTGAGGTGTCAGGGATCTAAGGGTTGGGGTCGGAGGGTTGAGTACTAGGAATCCGAGGACTGGGGTCTGAGGGTCCTAAGCATTTATGAGTTCAGGTTCTGAGAGTCTTAAAAGATCTGAGATCTGGGGATTTGCAAATTGCAGATTCGAAGATCCTGGGGTTGGAGGGTCCCAGGGATTAGACAATAACGGCTCTGAGGGTCTGAGGGACCTGAGGGCTGGAGACCTGGCATCTCCGGGCCTGAAGGCAGAAACATGGAGAATCTGAGCCCGGGTGCTCTCTGGGGTGGGGGCCTGGTGCTCTAACGCCCTCGCCACGTCCTCCGCCCCCAGATGAAACGTGCACCCAGTTCTACCACCCGGAGAAGGAGGACGGCATGCTGAACAAGCTGTGCCACAAGGACACGTGCCGCTGTGCCGAGGGTGGGAGCCGGGGGCAGGGGGGGGGGGCACACCCATGGGCTCCCTGTGGGAGAGGCCGCCGGGACCAGGCTGTGACCCCCGGGTGAAAGGTGGGATTCAGACTGCGTCTCCACCGGCCCCACAGAAAATTGCTTCATGCAACAGCCAGACCAGAAGATCACGCTGGACGAGCGGCTGGAAAAAGCCTGCGAGCCCGGGGTGGACTACGGTGAGTGGGTGTCGGGGTGCGTGCACGTGTGGTTGTGTGTCACAGTGTGCGTGGTTGTGGATGTGTGCGCCGGGCTATGTGACATTAGGTGTGGTTGTGGCTGTGTGTGTGTGACTGTGAGTGGCCATGGCTGTGTGTGAGTGTGTTGGGGTGTGGTTGTGGGTTACTGTGCATGCGTGTGTGTGTGTGTGTGTGTGTGTGTGAAAATGCGGTGTGAGAGGCCATGGTTTTGTAGGGAACCATGGTTCCAAGTGATGCATGTGTAAATGTGTGACAGAAGGTGGTTATGCAGCTAGGCGTGATGGCGCACGCCTGTGATCCCAGCACTTGGGAGGCTGAGGCAGGAGGATCACTGCGAGTTCAAAGCCAGCCTGGGCTACGAAGTGAGTTCAAGACCAGCCTGAACTGCATAGTGAGACCCTGTCACAAAAACACACACGAAAAAAGGTGTTTGTGCATGGCCATGGTTGTGTGTGACCATGGCGAAAGGCTGTGGTTGTGATTGTGACTGTGTGTGGTTGTGAGGCTGCTGTGTGTGGTGCTGTGCTGGTAGGTGGCTGGATGTGAGTGTCTCTAGCTGCGTATGTGACTGTCGTGGTGGCTGGCTATAACTGTGAGCATGGCTGTGTGTGACTGTGGCTGCGTGGCCACGCCTGAGGTGTGTGCATGTATGAGCGTGCGTGCGTGTGTGTGTGTGTGTGCGTGTGTGCGTGTGAGTGCCTTTGCTTTGCATGCAGCTGACCCCATGGGTGGCTGTAACTTGTGAGCGCTCTGAGTGTGACCGTGTGTGGGCTGTGACCGTGTGACCTGTGTGGCGGTGTGTGTTCCTGGGCGTGGACTGCACCGGTACTGGCCGTGATCCCACGCGTCTCTGCTTGGGGATGGGAGGCCCAACCATCGACGCCGCCTGGGACCCACGCGGCCCCCTCTCCCTACAGTGTACAAGACCAGACTGGTGAAGATGGAGCTGTCGGATGACTTCGACGACTACATCATGGCCATCGAGCAGGTCATCAAGTCAGGTCAGTGGGGTGCTTGTCTTTCAGCCCCCTCCCCCGGGCCCCTCCACCGTAGCTCAGTGCCTCCCTCTCCATTCCAGGCTCCGATGAGGTGCAGGCCGGGCAGGAGCGCAGGTTCATCAGCCACATCAAGTGCAGAGACGCCCTGCACCTGCAGGAAGGGAAGCACTACCTTATGTGGGGCCTCTCCTCGGACCTGTGGGGAGAGAAACCCAAGTGAGTGCCGGCCCGCTTGTGCACCCCGCCTCCTAGCCCGCCCCGCCCCTCCTAGCCACGCCCCGCCCCTCCTAGCCACGCCCCGCCACGACCATTGGCCCCACCCAGCCGCCCCTCCCCACCCTGCCTCCGCACGCGCCCCTCTGTCCCTCCTCTCCTGACCTGTCTCCCCGCTCCCAGCATGAGTTACATCATCGGGAAGGACACCTGGGTGGAGCTGTGGCCTGAGGCAGAAGAATGCCAGGATGAAGAGAACATGCAGCAGTGCCAGGACCTGGGCAACTTCACAGAGAACATGGTGGTTTTTGGCTGCCCCAACTGACCACACCCCTGGGCCTCCCTCGAATAAAGCTTCAGGTCTATGGCACTTGGTTCCCAAAGTGTAAAGTTCTTTGAAAGGGAAACAGGCACTGTGACATCCCCCAACCCCACTGCCATCCAACCTGAGCTCTCGAGGATATCCTCCATCTCCATCCTCACCTCCATCCTCACCTCCAACCTCACCTCTGTCCTCACCTCCACGCTCCACCTCTGTCCTCACCTCCAACCTCACCTCCATCCTCACCTCCATCCTCACCTCCATGCTCCACTTCTGTCCTCACTTCCATCCTCACCTCCAACCTCACCTCCAACCTCACCTCCGTCCTCACCTCCATGCTCCACCTCTGTCCTCACCTTCAAGCTCACCTCTGTCCTCACCTCCGTCCTCACCTCTGTCCTAACCACCAAGCTCACCTCTGTCCTCACCTCCATCCTCACCTCCGTCCTCACCTCCAACCTCACCTCCGTCCTCACCTCCATGCTCCACTTCTGTCCTCACCTCCATCCTCA